GCTTCTGTAAAGACTGACAGCCTTGGAGACCCCGTGGGCAGTTCCACTCTGTCCTCTAGGGGCGCTGTGGGTCAGAATGGACTCCACGGCAGTGGGCGTGGTTTGGGCTTTGCTTCTGTGAAGACTGACAGCCTTGGAGACCCCATGGGCAGTTCCACTCTGTCCTGTAGGGGCGCTGTGGGTCAGAGTGGACTCCACGGCAGTGGGTGTGGTTTGGGCTTTGCTTCTGTGAAGATGACAGCCTTAGAGACCCAGTGGGGCAGTGCTGCTCTGTCTGATAGGGTTGCAGTTAGTTGGAATCAACTTAATGGCGATAAAAAAACTTGATTTTTACTTTACAAAATGTTTTTCAAGCAGGGTGGCAACTTGAGTACTTGGTACAATGACAGCCATGTAGAAATGTGCCCTGATCAACAGAAGGGTGAGAAGACGCACCAGAACATAGCTGAGTGGCAGAGGACGGTTGGCTGGCATGGAGGGATTACAAGAAACTGCTTTTTCCTTCATGTGTTTTCCACAGTTCCTCTAAGATGTGTACATATTTATAACGAAAACCATTCTGTAAATGTTACGATTCAAAATAATTTTTATTGGAGGACATACCACAACCCCTTGTCTTCATCAGCAAGAAAGTGTCCAGAGCTTCGGCTTGTCCGAGCACCCGGGGTGTTGCTTTTTGCTGCATGTGTGTCACACAGTAGGGGCCAGCGTCTTTGGCACAGTTGGCATGAGTCATGTTTGTGTCCACTTTATAGAACCCAGCACGTAGTTTTACTGATAGAATGTGGAGTTTTAAGATGATTTTATTCCAGTCTTTTTTGTATTCTTGGGTCAGGAAGAACCCTCGTAACTGAGTTCATCGGGAGTTGCCTCATGTTTTAAGATCCAGCACCTTTGTGGACAGAGTTTCTAGGAAGGAAACAAACGAGTTTATGGTTTGTGGACTTAGGATCTGGTTCTTTCACGGTAAAGGAAGCACGCGTGCTTTACGATGTCTTCTCTGCCTTTGCAGGTTGTCACGGGAGTTCTCCGAAGAGCAGACGAGGTGAGCGTTCGAGCCACTGTGTCTCAGCTTTGCCTCTTGTGTCCCATTCAACTCTCTACTTCTTCCGTGTTTCCTCCCCAATGTGTACTTTAAAGAGGGCACAAGCTGGGCCTCCTTGGATTTTAGAAAGTGTTGCTCCCTGAGGCATCGAGATTGGGTGGTGACCCGGAGTGGACTTCGGAGCCCGGGGGTCACCCACTGTGGTTTTGCAGAGCTCAGTGGTGACCCAGCATGGACTTCCGGGGCTCAGGTAGTGACCCACTGTGGACTTCCGGAGCTCGGGTGGTCACCTGGTGTGGACTTCAGAGCTCAGGTGGTGACCCACTGTGGACTCCTCTGCTTTCATAACCTGGAGTGTCCAGTAGCTTTTACCAACGGTTGCTTAACATATACAGTCTTCTATAGAATATTTTCTTCAGTGAATCCCTTCCTAAATAAATTCTGGTACATTTATATACACTGGAAACCACATAGCAGTTAAATGATTTAGTCCTGTGAATATCTGTGTGGTTGAATCACAGAGATGCTGACTAATAAGGGCATGTTGCCAAAGGCTGCATTTCTACAAAGTTTTAAAATTCAGAACCCAGTGCTGCATGTCATTAATGGACACCCGGATATAGGCGTCCTGTGCTGCACGTTGTTAATGGACGCCCAGGTAAAGGTGCCCTGTGCTGCACATTATTAATGGACACCCAGATAAAGGCGTCCTATGCTGCGCGTCGTTAATGGACACCCAGATAAAGGCGTCCTATGCTGCGCGTCGTTAATGGACACCTGGATAAAGGCGTCCTGTGCTGCACGTTGTTAATGGACACCTGGATAAAGGCGTCCTGTGCTGCGCGTCGTTAATAGACGCCCGGATAAAGGTGCCCTGTCCTGCACGTCGTTAACGGACGCCTGGAGAGAGGTGCCCTGTGCTGTGTGTTATTAAGACACCTGCTGGTGCAGTATTTAGCCGAATTTTACCGGCAGCTTTCTCATTGATCATCTGACTTGCTCAAGACCCCCATTATCTTCACTGAATTTCTTCCGGCCAGTTGCCATTAGTGTGTGTCCTCACGTATTTCGCCACCATCTAGGTTCTTCATTTCCAAGGACGTCATTGTCCTGGGAACGGCTCTCTTGCTGTTAGCAGTTCCTTCTCTAAGGCTCTGGGAGGGGAAGGAGGGCTGGTGGTCACTCCCGCCTCACTCTTCAGCCTTTCTCGCCACAGTAATAAAACTTTCCTTTCCTTTTCTCCCCAGGCTTCCTTCAGTAAGATTCCCATTGGAGTCATCCCTCTGGGACAGACCAGCAGTTTGAGTCATACCCTCTTTGCCAAAAGTGGAAACCAAGTCCAGTAGGTGGTTGGTGTGAGGTGTTGGTGTGTGTGGGGTGAGTGAGCCTGGGGAGGAGAAGTGCACGGATGTGTGTTGGCACTGGGTTCTGAGTTCTGATAACCTGAAACATGAAATTATTAATGGGAGGGCCTGGGTCAGAATGCAGCCTTACAGTTCATGGGAAGTCATCCAGTTGGGTCATGGGGCTGGTGACCTAATGAGTCCCAAGGCCGGGGATGGAGATGAATACTCGGTGTCCTTTGTCAGCCGTGGAGACAGCCCCCCTCATCCACAGGGCTTCCGGCTTTTAGCTGCTCGCTTCTCTGGGGAGACAACTTTGCGTGGTCCCTTGTTTGCAGTAAGTGCAGACGGTCACAGATAGCGTGTCCCTGGTGGGGGCAGAACCTGCAGCCTGGCTTCATTACCTTGAGGATGTCAGTGGCTAAAATAGCCACATAGAGTTACCTCCTTTGGGGAGTGAGGATAGTGGTGGATGGGGTACGGTAGCCAGAAAGAGTTACCTCCTTTGGGGAGTGAGGATAGTGGTAGACGGGAATACGGTAGCCAGATAGAGTTACCTCCTTTGGGGAGTGAGGATAGTGGTGGACAGTGATACGGTAGCCGGAAAGCCGTGTAGCCCCGATGTCTAAGATAACTTGTTTTGACTCTCTTGTGGTTCCTTAGTGCTGCTGTGACAGAAGACATACCACAAACGGGTGGTTTTAACAAACAGGAGTTTATTCTCTCACAGTTTAGGAGGCTGGAAGTCCGAGTTCAAAGTGCCAAAGTCTAGGGGCTGGGTGAAAGTCCCTTGACTTTGGGCTTCAGCTCTGCCTCCTGCTCCCAGCCCACTGGAGCTAGAGGTGTCTCTTCACTCAGGTAGCTGCTGGCTACTGAGGCTGACAAGTCCAAGTCCGACAAATAAAATGGCACAGTCCCAATATTACCACACAGCATGGCAGGCCACTAGTTCAAGTTCAGAGACAGTCCCAAGATCAGCAGGAAACATGGCAGGCTGCTGAATGAAGACTTGGCTACATGCGGGGTCCAAGCATGCCAAAAACCTGCAGGACTCTTTCTCAAAGCTTCTCCTTATATACTGGACACAGACCGTATCCCTAAAGCAGCTACTCAGCTGCTCCAGTAGATTCCACCATGGGGTTGGTTACCAGTCTTACCATGGGGAGTAAGTACATCCAGCTGCCCAGCCACTGAACCAGGCCCAGCCAAGTTAACACATAGCCTTAACTCCCACAGGGTCTCACATGTCTCCAGGAGCCAGGCAGACTGTTGTGGTCATTGCCCTTCTTTTCCTGAATGCATTGTGTGAACAGACTTCTGTCCTTCGGGAGAGCAGAGAGCTTGAATTTGAGCCGTGGCTTTGAAACGGTTAATAATACAATTTGAGCAAATACTTCTGCGCTCTCAGAGTCAGTTGCTGATGTCAGCTTTCTGACTCACGGGAGGAGGTCAGAAAATAAATACTTGGTAATTGAATGAATTCAAATTCTCTTTGGACTTTTCTGCTTTTAACATTCTAGAATCAATACCAATAAACATTCTGGTGACTTTTTTGTTTGGGTTAAAGATTTTTTTTCTGTGATTTGGAATTCTTTCCTTAAGCTGTTTGTTTTTGTTGTTGTTGATTTGTTTTTGTTGTAATTTTAGAAATCAGTTGGTATACCTTTTAACAATCTGTGTTTATTCCTCTATAAAAGCCTTGGGCTATTTATTGAGCGCTGGTGGTGTAGTGCCTAAGGCATTTCACTACTAACCAGAAGGCTGATGGTTCAAACCCACCAACCACTCCTCAGAAGGAAGGTTGGGCAACCTACTTCCGTAGAGATACTGCCTCAGAAACCCAAGGAGGGGTCTCTGTGAGTTGGAATTGACTTGACAGCAGTGTTGTCGGGATTTTGGATTTTGGACTTTTGGTCTGGCATGTGCTTAGGAGGCAGGGATGATTCAGAGGCGGAGTTCGCGCATTCTGTGCTGGGGACCAGTGTTTGATTCCCAGCCACTGCCTGTCTGTCAGTGGAGGCCTGTGTGGTGTTGTTGGTGGCAGGTGTCAGTGGAATGGAGCTTCCAGACTAAGACAGACTAGGATGAAAGATCTGCTGATCGGCTTCTGCAGATGAGCCAGGGAGAGCCCCACGGATCTCGACAGTCCGACCCACGACCAGTCCTGGGACTGGCTAAGGACCAGCCAGCCTCGCCTTGCACTGTGCATGTACTCGCCAGGAGTCAGGGCCGACTCCACAGCAGGCAGCCACAGGCGTTCACATAGACGTTCGCATAGGCGTGCATCAGTCCTCCATTAAAACTTCCCGCGAGCTTCAAACCTTAACGTCATGGGGCGTGTTCAGTTGCTTACTGACCATCCTGAGACCTAGGAAACATGGGTGACCATGTCACTCGGGTGTGCTTTTGACTCGCAGAGCGGTGTTTCTCAGGGCAGATGAGGTTGCAAACAATGAGTGGGGCCAGCCCTCTTGGCTGAGGTCAGTCCCACCCAGTTTGGGCCTTTGTTACTTGAGAGAGCTCGTGTCCCCCTCATGTCAGCATGGAGTGTTGAACTGTGTTAGCTGGTGCTCCCAAATAGTGTGACGCAGAGCCAGACATCCTCAGAGGGAAAGAAACCTCCTTCAGAACCCCACGCCTGGCCTAAAGCCACTGGCACCAAGTGTGGCAGCGGTCAGCCTCTGAAATGGATGCAGTGGTTTGAAGGCTGGTCGTCTTCTGTGGTTAATGTTGCTGCTTCTATGTATAATTTAAACATATATAAAACTTAATTTATAAGCATGTCCCAGGGCTCATAGGTGATCAAGGAAGTGGGTCCTGGGTAGACCTGCAAGCAGGGCTTTGCTCTTGGCGCTGCCGTCCAGCCTTGTTGTGTTACAATTGCTTCAGAAGAGAAAAGAACTCTGAGTGGGACATGCTGCAGGAAACTTGATGTGTTACTGGGCTGGGCCATGTGGCAGCATGGCTTTATTCAGAACCCTCCATTATTGCTGGAGAATGAGAAACGTAAGGTTTTATTTTTGCTGTCTTCTGTGAAGCAGTTTAGAAAAAAAGATATAAATGACATTAAAAAGTTATTTGAGTTGCAGCAGTATTTCATGTTTGAAGTCAGTCTCCCAGAGTACTTGGCTCCTCCATGAGCCTGACGCCTTTCTGGGCGAGTCCAGCGCTCAGGGTGTCCTCAGGGCTCCCTTTAGGGCTCATGCTTATAGAGCCCAGTAATCTAAGCTCCATCACCATGCTGGCATTGTCCTCTCCTGAGCAGAAGTCGTGTTTGAAACTGCTGCCAACTTCCCAAGTAGCATCTGTATTGGAGGGAAAAGTGGCATAAAGATGTGTGGATACAGAAAGATGAGAAAAAGATAAGCTGTTATATTTCAGCTTGCCTACTAGGGACCCCAGAATCTAATCTGGACATTTGAGTTAATTTGTATATTTTTGAAATTTTAAGGCATTTATTTATTTTCCGTGTTCTTCACCAACACCACACAATTCAAAGGCATCAACTTTCCAGTCTTCCTTATTCATTGTCCAGCTTTCACAAGCATATGAGGTGATTGAAAATACCATGGAATGGGTCAGGTGCACCTTAGCCTTCAGAGTGACACCTTTACTTCTTAACACTTTAAAGAGGTCTTTTGTAGCAGATTTGCCCAGCGCAGTACAACATCTGATAATTCTTGAGTGTTGCTTCCGTGGGTTTTGATTGTGGATCCAAGTAAAATGAAATCTTTGACAACTTTAATCTTTTCTCCATTTATTGTGATGTTGCTTATTGGTCCATTGTGAGGATTTTTGTTTTCTTTATGTTAGGTGTAACTAGACGGTAGTCTTTGATCGTCATCAGCAAGTGCTTCAAGTTCTCTTCACTTTTAGCAGAGTTGGCTTGGATCATCTGCATATCACAGGTTGTTAATGAGTCTTCCCAATCCTGATTCCATGCTCTTCTTCATATAGTCCAGCTTCTCGGATCATTCACTCAGCATACAAATTGAATAAGTATGGTGAAAGGATACAACCCTGACACACGCCCTTCCCAATTATAAACTATGCAGTATTCCCTTGTTCTGTTCAAGTGAAAGCCTTTTGGTCTATGTACAGGTTGCTCATGAGCACAATTAAGTGTTCTGAAATTCCCATTCTTCTCAACATTAGCCCTAATTTGTTATGAGCCATTGTAGCCTGGTGCTTCCCTAATAAATCCCGTAATCTGTGAGCTCTGTGTGGCCACTGCAGTGAATTATCGAACCCAGGAGGGAGGTGGTGGGTGCTTTGGGAGGAA